CTACTAGGAGCAAGGACGCTACTAGGGGCTCCTGGCATCGCTACTAGGAGCAAGGACGCTACTAGGGGCTCCTGGCCTTACTACTAGGAGCAAGGATGCTATTAGGGGCTCCTGGCCTTACTTCTAGGAGCAAGGCCGCTACTAGGGGCTCCTGGCCTTACTCCTGGCACCGCTACTAGGAGCAAGGACGCTACTAGGGGCTCCTGGCCTTACTACTAGGAGCAAGGACGCTACTAGGAGCAAAGGGCATCGCTACTAGGAGCAAGGACGGTGCTAGGGGCTCCAAGGACGCTACTAGGGGCTCCTGGCCTACTACTAGGAGCAAGGACGCTACTAGGAGCAAAGGGCATCGCTACTAGGAGCAAGGACGCTACTAGGCAAGGACCTGATTGGATTCTGCTTTCTTCCAAGCTCCTTTTCGTCACTGAGTAATTACAAATGACGCGTCAGGTGGCGGCGGCTTCAGTGGGCCAAGTCTATCGCGCACGCATGTCAGGGCGGCAGGCTGGAGCTGGTGGAGCCAACTGTAACTTCTGCTCTGAAGTTGTTTCTTTTGTTCTGAAGAGTTGGAGCTTTTCCTGAATGTGCTTTGGTTTGTGCAGATTTTATCAAGAAAAGGGGTTCCCAGAAAAGGGGCTCTGTGAAGATTAAACGCAGTCCCACACCTTTTGGTGTAGTTTTGTTTTCGTTGGTTTGCCCATTTTCTCGCAAAGTGCAAACCAGCATGCATTTTGCATCAGAGACGCTCTTTCATATGCTGAAAGCCTTTAGCGGGCGTAACTGGAGGTCATCTAAATCAGCATATACTCCTGTGCACATGTTCTGCGAGAAGTGCCAAGCAGAATCGCTCGCTCTACAGAACGACAAAAGCACAGCAGTTGCTGTGCATGTACCTGCCGACGGGTAAGGAGCTTGACAGTCAAAAAGTACTCCTGGACACAGACATTTCTTTGCCACACCACAACCCTATAGTGACTATACATAAGTACACATACATAGCATCAAAGCTTGCAAGCTTGTGCTAGGCGCATCCTGGAAGTGATGCCGTATGACACCCACTGAAACCACTTCATCACATCAGTTGAAACCTTCACTCATTACTTTCGTCCTCGTGAACTCCAGGTGGCGGTCAAGGTCCAGCGCCCGGATGTTCGGGAGCAAGTGACTTTGGACCTCTTCGTGGTTCGGCAGATCGCCAGCATAGGCCCCTACTTTCGATCATCGCTTGTTGGCCTCATGTTGATCTTCGTTCTTTGGCAATAATTCTTCCAGAAGGCTCTTTCACCGTGGCTTGGATTCTCGTGCTTTCCGTTGGCTTCAGATGTGTTTTCCTTTTTTTTTCCACTCACTGTTCTCAATTTGTTTGCGCTGATCCGTCTTCATCGACTTCTTGCAAAGTTCGCGCGGACGCCCAGATGGCACTGCACCTACTATTACTATTAGTATGTTGTGCTTCAAGGAAGTATAATGTTTGCGCACTGTTTGTCAGACAGCATGGGTTCCATCACTGCAGAGGGGGCCTAGAGTGCGGTAGAGATGAGTGACTTGCATCGCCTTCATCCAGCGCAGACAGTGAGTCTCCCGCAAGCAGTTAAGTTCAGGTCTTTAGGCTTCAACTTTAGCCCCACGTGCTTCGTGCGTCTCTTCCTGCGCTAAGCGTGCTTCGTGCCAATGGCTGACGCTTTCGAGCCCTGCTACACGCTTGAGCTGACTGTCAAGGAAGGCAAAGATGAAGAATTCCTTGCGATCTTCAAAGACAACCTGGAGAAGTCACGAGCCGAGCCTGGAGTGCTGCAATACGATCTTCTCAAGGATTCTTTGGCGAGCAGTAGTCTTGCTTGTTGTACTATGCGGCCTATACATGCCATGAGTTTTTCAGTATGGCAGCATGTAGTCTTGAACCGCTTTTCTCGTTTATGTTTGATGTCTAATCTTTCTGCTTTCTAAGGATATGAAGAAGCCCAATACCTACAACCTTTGGCAGCGCTACAAGTCGGTGGAAGCTGTGAAGGAACACATGGCCACGGAGCATGTGAAGGAGATGTTTACACTCCTACCATCAATTCTGGCAGCTCCATTTGTTCAAAGCGACTACAAGAGTGCATACTGAGCCGATGGCAAACGATGAGTGTCAAAGTGCACCAATCAAAACGCTTGGATGCCCGACTGTTCTAGTGCATTCCTGATAGGCCGAGATGGCCTCTGACTGGCAATCGAAAAAGTTAGTGCAGCACATGGATTGCGTCGCAGAACAGGAGATATGATGCCTCGATCCATCAAGGAATGGGAGATATGACTGTGACGGTGATATGGTGACTCGATCAATATCCCCTTCTACATAATATCAATGGACCTGTCGATCCTTCCATCATCAGCTCTTTTACGATTGAGTTCCTGATGACGAGCTTTCAACTGGCGAGCTGTTGCTTACTTTGAGCTAGGTAGAAGGCTTGACCAAGGTCGAATGTATTGCGTTTGAGTATTGAATATACAAGGTTTCTCATCCAGCCAGAGTGTTGGCAAAGTTGAAACTAGAGTGTTGGAGCACATGCTTTCACTGAAGAACCTTGATGACACAACCCCTGCCTTGCTTGACATGACAGTGAAATCCGAGGTGAAGAAGACGTGCTGTTCGGCAACTTCTAGAAGGTTTACTTATTACTTTTGATGCAAGCATGAAGGGGATTGGTTTTGGGGACGATAGGAGGAACAAGAGTGAATTAGGCTGTTACAATACCGTTTTTTTCCTGGCATCCTTGGCCTTTTGTAGTTGGCACGTACGTTGCTAGTTGGTGCAGTTGGTGCAGTTCTTGGAATTTTGACCTGGCAGCGGTGTTCCAATTTCCACGGTTTGTGCGCACAGGGGCTCACGCTTCGAAGCCGACAGGCTCTTTTTCTCCCATCGAGAGGTATGCGCGCCAGCTCTGCACTTGGAGAGATAGCCAAGCGGTGCATTTGATGTCTTGGTGTTCGGTCCATGTTCCTGTGGCTTTCTCTTACAGCAGATTTACTGAAGATATTCTGTAGACCTTTGGACTCCTTTGGACCGTTCTTTTTTTTCGATAATATTGATAGTATCAGTACTGTTACATACTCCATCCAGCGCATTTCTGTTTCACTGCTCGGACTAGATCACTTTTCAACTCGGACGGGCGATTCGAATCCCCTCCCGCCTGGAGGTTCCGAAGCTTGTTCCAATTGGTGGACCGTGCAGCGCCCCCGTTCATCGAAGAGCTCGATTACGCACCTTGGCAAAAAGAGATGCCCATTGTTGCCCTTACGTTCATCTCGATGCCCTTTGTTCCGTTCGTAGCGATGCCAGGAGCCCCTAGTAGCGTCCAATTGGTTCAAACAATTATTGATTTGCAGTTCAAATTGTTCAATCCCAAAAGTTATCAACATGACAAGGCATCTTGTTGCTTGGAACCTTGTGTAAGAAGTTGGGACACCTGTCAGCATTTCATTTGGTGATGGTGCAGGGCCACAGAGTGAGACTGGGATTGTTCAAACAATTCGACCCAAAAAACACAGTTGCCTTGGAAAGATTACACAAAAAAACACCAAACGAGCACTGGTCATGCCGCGAAGGGCAACAAGACAAAAAGGACACTCCGTCCCAAGAGTTTTGTTCGTTCCGTTCGTCGCACTGAGGAGTTCGAGGCCAGCAATCAGACGGAGTTCGCCGAGCTGATTGCCAAGTGTGATTTGGTGCGCCCACTTGTTCGAGTGCGAGCTGTGCTGCTCAAGTGTTCAGAAGCTTGCAAACACAATGACGGGTGCCATGCTCAAAAGATAAACACTGCAAAAAGCAGTTTGATCTGCGAGAAGTTCTTTATCCTGACCATTTCGGTGCAGACTCATGACAAGAATTGACAAGAATATACCATGGGATAGCCACAAGAACTGTTGAGTTTCGCAGGTGTTCTTCCTCGACCAACATGTGATTTGCATCCAGACCAAGACCGGTATCCTCCCAATAGTCGCAGCACTGGTCGCGTACCAACGTTCCTTCGTAGGAAGTCTCGCTGGGGTGAATGACCTCAGGTAGGATTGTGAGACCCAAAAGCGTACGGAGTAAATGTAATTGACCACCCTTTGGCGTTCGACGTTGGGAAACTGTTTCTTCGGGTCCTTTTGTTTGGTTCGGCTGCTGGTTCCAAAATACTCTCCTTTCTCCGAGAAGATGGAAGGGGTACTCGTCTGTAGAAGAGACGAAGACGCAGCGCAGGTCTCAGACACTGTGCAGGTGCCGGAGGTGATCAAAGCCTCTCGGGAAGTTCTCATCCAGGCAATGAATGAAGTGCGAGTGCATCCCCCAACAGCAGTTGTTCTCACGTGGTAAATGAGTGAGTTTAGCGTGGGCTGCTGGTAGGATGGCGCGCAATGAGTGTTGGTGAAGTCACTTTGTCACTTTGGATTGTAGAAATGATCTTCATTGAATATCATCGGCAAACTTACTTGCGTTTCTCCTTTCTGAAAAAATCATAGGACCGGATAACCCCACATGTTCACAACTTCACCAGACACAGGAGCGGACAATTGGTGGTTGGTGGGTGACAATTGGTTGGTGGCAGTTTGTTGGTGGCAGTTTGTGGGTGGAAGATTGTTGGTGGCAATTGGTTGACGACAATTGGTTGGTGACAATTGGTTGGTAGCAACTGGTTGGTGACACTTGGTTGGTGACAATTGGTTGGTAGCAACTGGTTGGTGACAATTCGTTGTTAGCACTTTGTTGGTAGCAATTGGTGGGTGGCAATTGATTGTGGGTGGCAATTGGTTGATGACAATTGGTTGGTGACAACTAGTTGGTGGCAATTGGTTGGTGACAATTGGTTGGTGACAACTGGTTGGTAGGTCTCTGCCCTTCTGAAAGGATTATTTTTGAGGGCCTTTTTTCCCTCAAACATGGTCCTCAACCAATTGTCATCAATCAGTTGTCACACCAACCAATTGCCACCCACCAATTGTCACCAACCACCTACGCAGACATTCTCTCTTGCTAAGTTGCTAACATGTGGGGTTATCCGGTCCTATAATTGCTGCTGTTGTTGTTGTTGGCCCATCATCGGTTGATGCCAAGTGGTTGGTGACAAGCGGGAGGCGGGAGGAGGAGGAGAAGGAAGGAGCGGATCCAACACTAAAAACAAAAACCCCACACGTCAATGTGGGGAACAAATTAAGTTTCGCTAAAAATCTAGGAACCAAATGAATAGCTTGAGTTATCCTGCGTCCAGTAGCTAGTAGCTACTTAAGCTACTAGCTACCATTCTACTTCTATTACTAGCTACACCTCTTCCACTAACGGCCTACCCCCTTTTTTAAAGAACACGTGGAAGGTTTGATTGTTCATCTCTTGGAAGCAGGGTCCTTGAGGTGCAAATCCTCAGCTCGAACATGATGATATTCAAACGCATTGAGGTGCACATCCTAAAGGCAAGTGGCTAAGTTTGCCAGTGGCCGCCAGTGGCCGCCACCTGCAGGAATGGTTGCCAGGGAAGAAGCTGACTGAGCCAGGAGCTGCCAAGGACCAGGCGCAGCAAGTGGTGGGGCTGCCCAGCCTGCGCCATTTGCTATTGGTAAGAGGCACTAACGTCCGGTCTTTCTTTTTATACCCCGTTTAGCTCGAACTTGTTTCGGTGTTGTCTCACAGTTGTGCACCAATTGTGTCGCGGATAGAGCGCCCTTGGGATCCAGTTAAGATCATTATTTTCGACAAAGGCCAGCAACGTTGCTTATGCGCCATATATGAGAGCCTCTCGAGGTGAAAGTGCTGCTGAACTCCTACATGGTGCAACTCCTGGAGACCGGTTTCCTTCATGGAGATCCTTGGGCTCATACATCCCAGTGGGGATGGTTCAGACGTTCAGACTCAAATTGACAAAATGGCTTCACCGGGTGACCAATGAAACAAAACGTTTTCGAAGCATTCATTGAGTCAATTGAGTCATGGAATTGATGAAGACTCCCTCAACATCCCTCAACAATGTGAGTTCCGTATGGGTTGGCAAATGGCCAAACTTCAGCCGCACCGACCCCGAAAACACAAACAGGTGCCCTCTGTTTGCATCACGCAACTTGTCATGCTCTCTTACCACCGACAAACTGCCAGCAGTGTCGGACCACCCAACTTTGAGATCGGTGAAAGACAAAACACCGAGGATCCCCATCCAGGCAACTTCGTGCTGATGCCCTCGGGCAAGATCGGACGCTGGGCTGATGAGAAGCTCAATCTTCCCTTCTCGTGTTGGGAAGCATTGGCTTAGTATTTGATCCAGTCCATTGGAAATAGGCTTGCCACAGAGTGTAGCATTAGAGTGTCGAGACTGCACCATGTGAAGAATATGAAAACGAAGAGCACAACACATAGCCAAGGTTGTACTGTATCAGAAAGGGTTTGTGTGTTTCAACTGAGCGTTGGAGCCCAAAGCCATTCAAAAAGAATCCAGTCAAAAACTGGGAAGTGTACTCATATTGGTGGTCGATAGGTTAGGACCACGGGAAACAGGAACACTGGGCAGCCATGGAGTTGTTTGGAGTCCTTTTTTGCTTTGCGTGCGTTTCTTGAGTAGATTGACAATCTACAGGAATCATCTCCCGCAAGAGCCACTGCCTGACTTAGTCAAAAGGATTCGGAAGGTAGACGAGCAGCGCAAGGACGGCGGAAAGCAGGAAACGCCCACCCTGAAGGCCAGAACTGAAAGAAAGGACCTGGCATCGCTACTAGGAGCAAGGACGCTACTAGGGGCTCCTGGCCTTACTACTAGGAACAAAAAGCTACTAGGGGCTCCTGGCCGTACTACTAGGAGCAAGGAAGCAAACTCATTTGAGCTCATTTCCCGCCCTGCGAACTGATGTGCCTGACCTAGGAATCTTGGACTATGGCCTGATGACTCGAATCTCGGAGGACAAGAGAGTGGCACTGATCCAGTACTTGATGCATGCCAGGCTCTAAGAGACGATGCCTGAAGTCATGAATCTTTGCAAAGCTTGGGCACGAGCAGGTTTCATGAGAGGGTTGGAACTCTTGAGTTTAGCATGTCCTCCAGTCTGATCGAAGATACTATGATAAAGCAAGTAAAAGACATTCCACCAACCAGGTCCCCAACGTTTTTGATGTTTTGCTTCAGCATTCATGGGAACCCGACTACTTGGTGGAGAACCGGAGCGAAATGATGAACCGAGAGCTTTCAACCCAGGTCCAGGCCAACATGTACGACGAGTTGGCTCCTGAGTGATCCAAAAGCGGCGGTTTCCGCTTGCCATTTCGTTCACAGGTGGCCACAGGTCTCTCTGACGATTTCTTCGAGAGACTCGCTGGTCTCTGACGATTTCTTTCGCCGCCTTTTAACATCCACCTGGCAAGCGAACCCCCATCACGTTCACCATTTCAAGCTACCTTGACTCGACCTGCCATGTCTGGAGTCTGAATCACCTGACTTTCAGGTGCCTGCAAGACTTGGTAACCCTGGAGTTCCTGCCTGAAGGCATTGCCAACGATAAGGACTGGACAGAGCTGAAAGATCTGGCGATGGCCTCCAACCTACTACGGATCACTTCAGCCCTTTTTCGGAGATAGATTCCAGGATTACACAACCTCCACAAACACCCAAGTGTCGTAAACTCACGGGTGACGGATCCACTCAGAATCTTTTCTAACAATTCTTGTTTCTAATGGCTTCTTGTTACTACTAGTAAGGCACTTGTTACTAGAAGCGATGCACTTGTTACTAGTAGCTTATTGTTTCTAGTATGACTCAGCTATTCTTTCTAATCTTGGTCTCTCGCCCGACCTTCGACAGCTCAGGAGGCACGCGAGGTCATTGTTCCAAGACTAGCCGAAGACTCAGCATTGAACGATAAGACAGGGGTCTTAGCTTGGGAAGCACAGTGAAAGGAATCCGTAAGATCACCTTGAACTTACAGGTGGCAGAAGTCTTTCGCCTAGCCAGTCTGTGCCGTGCCCCTTTCTTCTTTCAGGCGGAGACGTTGAACATCCTCTTCGACCAGAGCGATTTGCGGGTGCAGAGAGAGAAGTTCATCAAACAACGCGAGGTGGGGAAAACGCGAGGTATGGAGGCGAGTTTCTCAGTCCGAGTCCATCTGAGGGAGTTTCTCAGGAGTCGTCACTAGCTAGCCGTTTCGATTGGCAGTTTGGTAGCCAATAACTAATAACTGTGCCAATCTGATTTACTGCCGATTATGCATGGATTGGTTTGCTTGTCAACCAACTATCAGACGTTGATTGTCAGGAGCTGGAGGCCTCTGGAAAGCTCGAGGTCTTACAGAGTGAGCTCCAGAACATTGCACGGAAGTACGGCTCCTTTCAGCTGCCAGGCGCTCCGTCAGTCGTTTCAGACCTCAGGCAGTCAGGCAGCCTCAGTCTTTTGACCGCTGTTGATCCCCCGTTATTTCAATCTCAACAGCTAGCTTGGAGGTGTTCAGACGCAGAAAAAGAATGGCGCCATGGAGTAGGGACGCAGTATGACGCAGTCCTAAAGTTTAAAGTCTGAACATTCCACTAGGCGGTGGCATCTGCATGCATTTGCAACTGGACGATGGCAGGCTATGCCACGCTCATCATCCGAGCATTGGCCACCTTGGAAGGCGTTGGCTTGAGAGCGAGTTCCTCCTTCTCCTTGAAGCTCCTTGAAGCGAAATCTTTGCATTTTATCTTTCCGATTGGTTTGTCCATATGCTTTCGTTCCAATAAGGCGTTTCCCTTCGCCCGCCTTAGGTCGGAAACCTTCCCCTATATCGCCCGGCGCTTGCTCACGGACGACAGCCTCCGGATTCGGGAGGCGCACGCAGTGTGAAACCACCTGAGATGGAGACTTGGGCCTTGCCCCGGACCAGAGGGTCGTCCCGAAGGGTTTTCAGTGGTTGTGCACTTAATTTTGCTAGTTCTGATAGAGATGTTGAAACTCTGGAGGCGCTGAAGGCTTATCTCTACAAGGGCCGCAGCCGGATTGCACCTGACCGCCTGGATAGCCTCTCTCAAGGTACGGTCAGTGATGCGCATTGTTCTCCGGGATGTTCCGGGAAGGACCGAGACGAAAAGAGCTCTGAGTACAGCCACCAGACCTCAGACTTGTAGCTCGGAAGACGTGTGTGGCTTGTTCCTTCGACAGTAGGCTTTCACTCTGGATGTCAGGCATGTTATGGGCTCCAACTTGCCATGTTTGGATTAAAGACCATATGGACCTCCGACCTCTTGACCGTGCAATACGATGCACAGAGTTGCCGTGCTGATGCCGCTTTCGAAGGCTTTAGGACCTTCACGAATCTGATGCCGCTTGGTCAGCACGCATCAGAGCGAAAGGAATGCAGCAGTTTTACATGCCTCAAGGACCTGCACGTGCTCCGTTACTCATATCAACTATGAAAGAGTCATGAATTCGAATCAGATGCAGTTCCATCTAAAATCGATGCCTGCAACACTGGCCTAGACCTTTCCTGACCTCGTTGCCTTGCGACCCTCTTCAGCCGAGGAAGGGAGACCGCGGCCAGGCCGCTGCCGCCGGCGCGCCGACGCCGGAACAAGAGCAAACGACGAATGCGGATGCCACGATTGCTAACGATCTCGATCTGGCGACGTGCGCCTGGCAGAGATTATCGGCATCTTCTTTTATGGCTCATGGCAGAAGTCATGGCTTGTGGGTTTTAAATTGCAAAAGGTGATGCATGGAGGGCTGTATCATAGATTCCCATGACACTCCTCAAGCAACAGATCACGAATAAGCCCTTTTCATTCCCTTTTCATCCTTCATCTTGGTGTTTTGGAAACACATTCGATTTGGAACCTATTGGCCTATTGGTCATTGATGACACTATTTAGGCCTCTGACCGTACCACACTCCACATGGCCTGTCAGACCATCACTCATCGATGTGATGCTCTGCCAGGAAAGATATTGCCGCTGTCCTGTTTTTGCCAGACTCTTGACTTAATTTATGGTGAAACTCGCCTCACGAGTTTGACTATCACAAAAAAGGATGGACACTTTGAGGGATCAACGAGAAACACAATGGATTTACGCTGACTGGCAGACTGGTGGCTTGTGGAACGGCCCTTGAGGGTAGAGAATGGGCACTCCTGGATGGAGAACTGCAACAACCCTTTGTTCCTAGTAGTAAGGCCAGGAGCCCCTCGTAGCGTCCTTGCTCCTAGTAGGGATGCCCTTTGTTCCTAGTAGCGTCCTTGTTCCAACTCCGCCAGGATGGCAACTTTCTGCAAGAGATTTTGATTGAGGAGGGTGTGGCAGCAGTGGACGCCCTTTCGCGCGCAGCTGTTCTTTGGATGCAATGCCCAGCTAGATGTCTAGTAGTAGAAGTTAGTGTCTAGTGGCGATGCCCTTTGTTCCAAGTAGCTTCTTGTTACTAGTACTAAGAATATGTAAGAATGCTCCTAGTAGTAAGGCCAGGAGCCCCTAGCAGCGTCCTTGCTGGTTGGAGAGTGACAAGTTGCGGTGACTTTCCGATCCGTTTGCTCAGGTGCTGCAGGCGGTGAGAGCGCTCACCCCTTTGGGGCCTTTGGCGGTTCCAGTGGCCGCACCTTTGTAGCTTAGCAGAATCGGATATGAAGCAGTCAAAGTCGAGAGGTTGGAGGCCATCGCTAGACCACCTGACTCATGAGGGTCGGGTGTTTGGCTTGACACCCTTTTGAATCAGGTGCACGATTCCGAACATATCCTGAAAATAATGACATACCAAGAAAATATTTTATATAGTCGAGACTCAGCAGATTTCCTGTGGAACATTGTGGAACCAATTTGGTGCCAAAGCAAGACGATTGATCAATATGCCGATTGTATGCCAGACTAAAAGCTTGCGTGTGTACCCAGCCAAAGGTGTTTGGAGTTGAATTCTTGACAACAGACCGCAAGAATGCGAAACACTCAACTGCATTTGCTCCTGAATAGCGGGTTTAGTTACCACTTGCGGCCGTGGGTTCAAATCCATACGTCGCCAAGCAGTATACTTTTCACGCAACAGGTGCCAAAGCAGAGATTAGCAGCAAGGGCATTACTACTACTAGCAAATAGCTACTAGGAGCAAAGGGCATCGCTACTAGGAGCAAGAAGCTACTAGTAGCTCCTGGCCGTACTTCTCCTCGCTGATCAACTCGGTCTCCCTTCTTCTGCGTGCAGAAGCTGAGGCGTTTATTGTTGGGTGACCAGCTGGAAGAGAGGCTCCTCACACGAGAGGCGAGATAGAGAGGCTATTCATGTAGATAGGTAGGTTCGTTTTGGAAGTGACCTTAAATTGTCAGCTGATTTTTTGACAGTTTCAAGAAGCCAACAGTTCCTAGGTTCCAAGGCTGTCACTTGAGTCTATGTCAAAGTGGTTTGAGTGTGGACCTTTGCAAAGCGGTCTGAATCTTTGATCTTCATTTATTGGCTTTTGAAAAGATGTAGGGCCGGTGTGAAAGGACAAGCAAGCTCTCCTGGTCATCCGCAAGATTGTTCAGATCATTCAGGCAGGATGTTGAGATCAGTTGGTTGGACAAACTGCAGCCACAGCACCGAATCCGAGCGCACCCCGGCGGTCCAGGCAGGGCAGCCTGCCACAACGCCCACAGGGTCTTTGGAGGAGCTAGCTGGATGGTGTGGATTGGGAAGTTGTTGAGGACTCACCTAGAATAGCAAGAAGTAGGAGCAGGCTGAGGATGGAGTGACATCATTGTACTTCTCAGCAAAAAGTTTTCTTATTGAAAAGTTGAAGGTTTGGATCCTGGAATGGGAAAGGGGCCTTGAAGCCACATTGCACCCAGTGCACACCAGATTGTGTTTTTGGGTGTCTTTTCTTTGGTTGGAGGCAGGTTGGAGGCCATCGCTACTAGGTTGGATGCCATTGCTATTAGGTTGGAGGCCATATCAAATCGGAGGTGATGCACAAGTAATGCAAGTAGAAGTCCAGCATAGCTTCCTGCCGAGAAACCTCGAATGCAAATCCCGGCGACCGGTCTACGAGGTAGCTGTGGTGAGGGGACAGGCTGAGAAGTTGCCAATAGCAGCCATTGATGTACTTCTCCTTGGGGGTTTCTGTTGTGGCTCCTGGACGGTTTTAAGTGGACAGTCGCTTCGGCTTGCGCTGCTGGGCGACAGCGGTGGCAGAAGAGGTGGTGTTCCTCCACCAAGGACATCTTTCCACGAAGGGCTGCGCCCATGTGGTGTTCCTCCATGGTTTTTTCCACCAAGCTCCGCCGAATCTGGCGCCACCAAGGCTTGCAACCACATGGTGTTCCTCCGTGGGCTTTCCACCAGCAGACCTGCGTCCCTTAGGTGAAATCGTGTGGGACATGTCAAGAGGGTCTCTGATGGACGCCAATCTTTCACTGCTGGGATATGCTTCTCGCCAGTGATGAAAGGTTTGGCGTCTTGATCTTTTCAAAGCCCCCAGATGCGGCACGGAAGCTGATCCAGAAAGATTTTTCTGATCAAGGCTCACACTACGCCCAAGGTCAGATGCGAGAGGAACTTTTGCCGGCGCAATCTTGCGGCTTCGAAATCTGTGCAAGGTGGCGCAAGATGCACTGGTGCTCTAGGAGGAGGACTGTGCGCCTTGTCACATCGGCGACGCAGATGCTCGCGCAAGACGCGTTCGCAAACCTCCTGCCTCTCAATGGCATGTCTGAGTTCAGCAAGAATGACCGGTTTATGATCTCTTGTGGCGGGACTTCATGAAGAAGCTGAAGGTCTTGAGTCTGCGCGCGCAAAATTTTGTCAGAGACCTGCGGCTGATCTTCAAATACCGAGTGGGATCTGCTGCGCGCAGGGGCTCTTTCGCGTGAAGCTGCAGCTCAGACCACGGACTAATATACTAGTAGTGAGGAAATTAATTTGGCTGGGAAGTCACTTGGAGGTGTTGCCACAGAACAAGTTCAAGAATGCACACGCCTCTGGGGTGGGCTTGAATGGCCACAAAGGCACTGCAGGGGCACGTCTGGAGCTGGACTTCCAAAGGCCGCTAAGGAATTGCCTCCCAACATCGTTAAAGATTCCATCAGCCAGTGGCCTACTAGAGGTGTGTGGAACGCTGGCGCAAGGATATTCCACCTGCCATTTCCACCGGAATTTCCACCAAGGGCATGTGTCCTGCAAACTCCACCCAAAACGGTTTCACCAAACCCACCTGGACCACTAACCAATTCCACCAAAGCCGTAACGGAAAAGGCTATGTTGACCACGGGCGCCACCAAGGGCCACAGCTGAGCAAGACCATGTACCGCGTCTTTGTCTGGCTGCAAGAAGCGAGAGGTAAAGAAACAGCATTTGACTTCCAGTTGGCTGCAAGCTGGTGCGCAGGCGGTCAAACAGATCACCAGGCCCCCCTACATCTGGAATGCCTTGCAAACAGCCAAGCGCGCCTCGGGTGGCGCAAAAGCATCGAGCGGTCAGGTGAGCCAATGTCAGCCGCGAAAGCTACGGGTACAGGCTCTGCTGGTCATTTGGATGGTGATGACGAGGCAGCTCGAGAAGTGGCTACTGTTTTTGCCGCTCCGACACCCTTGACTGATGCAGACGCTGAAGAGCTAGCAAGGCTGAAGGTGTGGCGGGAGAATGTCCTCTCAGCAAAGCGCAAGCAAACAAAAAACAGCAGCTGATTTGACAAATTAAGAGAATTCCCGCGCAAGAGCAAATTGTTGAATAATAGTGAGATTTACAACGAAAGTGTTGTGAGTTGGGGAGAGGCTAGAAAACATGGTTTCCAACATGTGTTTTTGATTTATTTATGAAAAAATATGAAACGCATTTATGAACCAAAAAAGCTGGTCTTTTTTACCTGTATGTTTTTAATTCAATATTTTCAGAATGTTTAATGAACTACTTTATGATTTCTTGGTTTGCTCAACAAAACATACAAAATTCATTGAACAATCATAAACAAAGCACAAACTTTTCATAAAACATTCATATTTTTCATACAAAAATCATAAGCCAATTCATAACATCATCAAAAATGCATGAAAATATAGATTTTTGATTCTCAATAAATCGCAAAAAATATAGCATTAAACTTATGAAATTCTGTTTTGAAAAGTTTATGATTTTTATGAAACATTTTTTAAAATACATTTTAACCATTTTTGTCGATTTTCCGATTTTTTGAAAGTCAATGAAAACCAGTAAAAATCATAAAAACGCAAGAAAAATCATAAAACAAATCACAAAGACAAAAAAGCAAAAATATCATAAACACCATAAAAATGGAACCTCCAAAAATTGAGAACCAATTAGTTTTTATAGAATATTCATAAAACATCTCAAAAGAAATAATCAACTAAACATTTCTTTGGGTGTCCTCCTGACTCTCAACAAAAGTGTTGAAATAATCGTTCTACCTGTGATATAGCGCGCGTTCTTGTACCTTCTTTGTAGTTGAG